CCAGATGATGAACAATTTGAAAATCAGGATTCACGCGGAAGTCCTTCAGGGCTGAAAATCATCGACCCTACTCTGGGTTACCTTATTTCACAACTAACAAAGAAAACTGATTCGCCGTGGACTCAGCTTAGTTTTTCTTCTTTCTGAACTGAGGTCAAATCCCCTCCGTTAGTCAAAATATACCGATGTTTTTCAGTGAATAATTTTGAAGCCTGTCACAGAACAAAAAAAAATATGTGAATCGAAGCCGGAGATTGGACGGTACGACGACCCTTTAATTAGCGTCAAATATGCTTTGTTACAACATCATTGATTTGCTGAAAGTCACCTGTTTGGAGCACGACCTGGGTCACAGAACCATATTTGTCCGTATTGTCAACAGGATTTTGCGAAAGAACCACACCCACATTTTTCAATCATTTTCAGAGCGGAAGTTGCCAATAAATGTCGAAAATCTTGTGCATTCCATGTGTTCGGATAAAATAAATCTAGCGATTGCTAAAAATGGTTATTAATATATTTCCCCGATGCTCTTGGAATTTTTATTTTTTTTTTTTATTTCAAGGTAATAAATGGCTAGTTGAAGTTGTATCGACTTCAAGGCGACTGTTTCACCGCGAACAACCAAGCTCTGTTGTAGTTTCGCAATGTAAAATGAAATATATAATAATAATAATACTTGTTTAATTATTTGGGTTTTCAGCCCACAAATTACGGAACATGATCCCCATGAATTACGGTCAATGTTTTGTCTCGGCTGATTGTAATGAATGCCGGACGTCGGGACCGATGCCCGTCTTCAACTCAGTATGGAGAAACCAACGGGAATCGATTTCCGGAACAAATTATTGGGGCACGGTCAACAGACATTCCAAACAATGGAAATTATCAACGAAAGAGGAGATTTTTCTAGATATACTGCCATGACAAACATGTACAATTAACAAATGCACAAAGAGGTGTAATATTAGGTTTTATTTTAGGCTTATAATAAATATTTTCTTTCACTCAGCTCATGCATGGAACTGGCATTTAGCTTCATTGTCCTTCAGCTTGTCTTCGCCTTGAGGAAAGCAACAATAATTATACAAACCGTAAACACATTGCAAAGACTCAACAATCGGGAAAGAAAACCCAGACAACATGTCATACTTGTGTTGAAATAAATTTTGTATTCACGTCAGATATTGTTGAAATAAAATATTCAATCCAAGCCAAATCAAAGTCAAAGGGTCAGATTGCGTGCATATAATTATAGATAGTTAAAACGAAAAGTATTTGATCTTTTGTCGGCTGTTCAACATTTATAAAAACCAGTAAGACAATTATAAGACAATGTGAACCTCGGAAATTTTCTGCGAGAGAGCGGGCGGTGATATTTCGGGGTTTTCACCATCGAAAATAAAGATTCCAGTGGAATTCAACAAGCGGTCACAAAAGCGAGCGGGCGGTGATATTTCGGGGTTTTCACCATCGAAAATAAAGCGGAAATTGTCCAGTGGAATTCAACAATCGGTCACAAAAGCGAGCGGAAAAAGGCAAAGTCATCGCTCTTGTTAGCACCACGGTTATTGAAAAAGAAACAGTGTTCGCACGCTTGCGACGACGTACCTCACTATCAGTTTTACAGTGAACAGTAATCAAAACAAACTTGAAGATATCTTGTGCACACGGCTTAAACCATTTTCTTTATTTGGAATAACTCCGCCTCCACACCATATTAGTAATATGCAAATCACTACGTCACTTTCGCGGGAAGTCATCACATTGTCGGTTGACACACGGTAGGGCCGTTCTGAGATTTCGAAACATATTTCATCCTGTCTTTAACGCGTATAACATTTAGCCCCGACATTAGAAGGCATTATTTATTAGTTGGTCGCTAGGCAGATATGTTTCAATAATCATAACTTCATATTTTTCAAAATTTTTAGGCCTAGTTTGAGATTCATTGACCTTGGACGTTTTTTGCGTTTATCTTGAAATTGATTTCTACGTAGTTCTACAGATTCAGTACGCAATTTCTAACAAACGAAAGGTCAGATCGTCATCATTTTTGGTCAACTTTACCGCTATATAGAGTACTGGAGGAATGTTCCTGGATTTTTTTTGTCTGCCTTCGTTTTTTGTTTATTTTTATATAGAGACATGTTGTTTTTACTCATGTATTAACGTCCAAACATTTGAAATAAGGCTACATAAAAACAAATTATAGTTGCAAAAAAACGAAGAACATTGTACATGAAGCACTTCTCTATAATATTTACATAAAAAAATATATTCAGTTGTGCTGTAAATTAATTATTAATTGCGTCATTAAACGTTTTACTCCATTTTCGCGTATTCTTGTGATCACGTGACTTGGTATTTGCATAATTTAAAAAAATTGTCATATTTCCAAAGTTTGAAACAAGATCTTTATTATGGTATATAAAATGTATGGGTAAAATGTATGTTTCAATCTGTAAATTGAGGCCAAAAAAATGGAACCATCGAACGTATGCTAACCCCTTAAGTCGGTTCCTAGTTTAGGCAGAATTTGAATTTTCTGTGATTTCTAAGTTTATTTTCATTATTAATCTCATTTAATTTCTTCATTCCAATGATCAATGAATTGTACCCGAGTAGTGGTATGTCTCACTGTGTTACCAGTATATCATTGTTAGTTTTTAGCCAAAAAATATGTCTAATTCATCAATACTCTTTGGCTCACTGAAGGCTATGACTTAATTATAGGGGAAATTTTTATATGAACCTTTCTGTTCATTAGCCATACTATAGACTTGATCATTCCTTTGTTTTTGTGAACTTTTTGTTGTATAAAAATGGTCCACAACACTGTAGTAAAATAAATTTATATGTAACCTAACATGAGTAACATAATATTTAGTAGATTTTGTACTTGACTAATATTTACTTTGTGTACATACATTTTTAGGCCAAGTGTATTTTTAGACATCCACCTGGTAATGAAATCTACAGAAAGGCTACCATATCCTTTTTTGAGATAGATGGAAGGAAAAACAAGGTAAGAAAATTCATTGTGACAAATACAAATGCATAGCATAAAATAATCTTTTTTTATCTAATATCCATACAACTTGAATAAAGATACTTCTAAAGCCATGTTGGTCAACAACTGTGATACTGATTGAAAACTTTTTGTATTATATAGTGTACATATAATAAAAAATATTTGCCTTCATACTGGGGGAGGAAATCCAAATTTTCTAATTATTATCTCGGACCTGTAGTTGTCTGGGTAAACACCCAGGGTCCTGCACATGGAAAATTGCCAAAAAATAGGAGTGGGTGTATTGAAAAAAACAAAAATTCGCGAAAATTGACAACACGCAGATCGAACTGCGGCAAGGATAGAATGGCAAATGAAAACATGCAATGGAAATAAATGAACAATATGCACAATTAGAAGTAAAACAAAAATAATTTATTGCTTATAATGTGACAAGTAAACCAGAAATAATTAAAAGCGACAATGAGGAATTATTTGAATAAGGATTTCCCCACCGCAAACATGATCAATGCGCGTGAACTAAAATGTCAGGGGGTTGAACTGCGTAAATTTATTTCCAGTTTTGACAAATACTGGACCAACTGTCATACTCAACCAATAATAATTCATGAATTTACACAGTAAAAATTACGAAAGTTCATAGTTGTTTGAATAAATTTCTCAGATTTGCACTTTCATTAATTACCATCGTCGTCAAAGTCAAAACCCTCAAAGTCCCTACAGCTTCATCCTGAAGTTTGTTGATGTCAACAATTTGGACTTAGTACTTTTAATCCATGGATTTCGCTGTCTGTCAGCTTGGCATGTCTAATCACAATGAAGAGGCAAGAAAAATGGGGTCGCAAACAAACGACTCTGCTCTATCATCTTTGACCTTTAAGCATCTGCATCTGCTTATTTCGCATTCACCCCCCGTTTTACGCAATTGACATTTATTTTTCAAGGCTTTTTTATCAGAATCACAACAGGCTGCATAGAAGTCAACTGTTAATACAACGAACAAAAATAAGATTTTTTAAAATTTTAGTGTAGAAAAAGACCCCATGGGCGTATACCCGGACATGACCTCAATTTCTTTATTGTATCAAAATTAAGGTGGCTGTTTGCCTGGGCATGGGCACTTACCCGGACAACTACGGGATTATTTTTTTTATAATATTTTATAACTAATTTATTTTCAAATCATTATATTCATTCATAGGTTTATTCGCAAAATTTGTGTTTGTTGGCCAAGCTATTTTTAGACCACAAGACCCTATACTATGATACAGATCCATTTCTCTTCTATGTTATGACTGAATTTGATTCAAGAGGCTATCATATTGTTGGATATTTCTCTAAGGTAAGAATTTATATGGCCACCACGAAATCGGTGACAAAACCATATTTTATTGCCAGCTAAAGAGTGGGCAATATCTAGATAATGGTGATACAATATCATAATAATGGGAATATTGCACTAGTGCTGGTACAATATGTGGATATTGTACTGGTACAGGTACAATATCTTGTTATTGCATTGGGTGATTATCAATATATTGATATATTGCACTGGTGCCAGTACAATATCCTGATATTGTACTGTACAAGGATCAACAAAGATGTAATTGTATGGATAATACCCCCTTCCCCCAAGAGAACAAAAGGGTCAGGAAGGCCAGAGCGTTTTAATGAAGAAGAATATCAGAAACATTATGTATTATGGTTGCATCATGTAGTTTATAAATCTCCAGGTTTATTCTTTATTATTTTTGCAGGAGAAAGAATCTACTGAAGATTACAATGTTGCTTGTATTCTAACATTACCACCATATCAAAGAAAAGGATATGGAAAATTACTTATTGAATTTAGTAAGTTGTCTTCTTTGCTGTAATTGGGAGAGCATAAAGTAATATTGATTGTATGCAGTTTTCTTGAGATGTTTAACATGTATAAATGTTCTTGCATGTATAATGGGTCAATTTTATGTCACCTGTGTTCTGCCAAGAATCATCACCCAAATGCATATGTAGGAATGTTGTATAATTTGTGGTTATTACGAAGATACCAAAATGTATGCACAAAGACAGTACAGTGGAAGTGTCAACCAACTGATGGCGTACTATTCACTACGTACAATTACCCACCATAGATTCCGGTCAGTCAAAATGACTATTTTGAACTGTAGGCACTAATCAGCGATTCTGCCGGTGACGGAGAGATAGAATCTAGGTCAGTGGAAGCCCCATGACCCCAAGATTCTTTTTCCCTTACGTCACGAACCACGTGACTGAGCCCATATGACAACGCCATAGACGGCTGTACAGACACTCTTCTTTTTCTCCGCATCGTATGGAGATCAAGTCTAGCACCCCCCTCGCAACTGCCGAACCCATGGCCACATATCCCTGTCGTACACAGATTGTGCCGGTGTAGTTCGGTTTGGAGACAGCGGGTGACGGATCCCTGGACCTTTCCAGGTGGTGACATTCTGTTACGGGATACCGCTGAAATCTCCATTTCCCCCGTCAGTGTCTCCCCTGTTGAGCACTGCCAGGGGACTCACGCAAGGCGGAAGCAATCAGACACGAAGTAGCAGTTTGCTGGGAAAAGGCGCCATACACAGGGTACATCAGCCGGAACTAAGTCCAGGCTTCTACCCAAATGTGTTCGTAATACCAAATCTACAAGTGGCGGGCGTCCAGTTCTGGACCTAGGCAGACTGAATCGGTACGTGCTCCTCGATCAATTCCACATGGAGACACCATTCAGGGTTCTTCTCTCCATCCACCGTTTCGACTGGCTAGCCCCACTAGACTTAAGCGGGGCCTACCTGCACATACCAATGCACCCAGCGAGTTGCCATCTTCTTCGAATCGTCCAGCTGGGCCAAGTAGTCGAATTTCGGGTGCCCCCCGGTTCGGGTTAGGCACAGCGCCCTACGTGTTCACCAGAGTGATGAAACAGGTAGTGCTGCTGCTTCACCAGATGTCGGTACACCTCAATCCGTACTCAGACTACTGGTTACCAACAACCCGGACAAGGGGTTAATAGCCAAACGCGTCAGGCTAACACAGGATTAACTTCACCAGTTGGGCTCGTTAGTAATGTCCCACCTCGATCCATCACGCAGTTGGTGTCCCTGGGCATGGAGTTTTGACACAGAGGTAAGCTTGGCTTAGCTACTTCAAGCGTATTGCTTAGCGCTAAGCAGCCTAGCCGAATGCCTAGTCAGCGTTACCTCGGTGTCCCTCCGTGAACTAATGCGGATCATCGGAATGATGACCTCGGTTCGAAGGGTCGTTTCCCAGGCCGCACTACGCAGCCGCCCGGTATAATGCTTGTTATAACGCCGAGCTCTCTTATGGGAACTAGATAGACGGGTTTCGATCTCGGACCAAGTGAAGGAAGCCCTGCCCTGGTGGTCGTCACTGGCCAACCTCAGGCAGAGGGGCCCCCTTGGACCCGCTCGCCGCAGGAATGACTCTGGTAACAGATGCCTCCCCCCAGGGTTGGGGAGCGCATCTATTGGACGAACAAGCCCAAGGATATGGCTCCCGCATTAGTTTCAGGACTACCATATCAACCGGCTCGAACTGAGAGCAGTGTACTAAGCACTACCACGCTTTCTACCCGTAGTTCAAGACCACAGAGTCCTGCTCCGCACAGACACCGCAGCGGTGGTCTCCTTCAAGAAGGAGGGGGACGCATTTCCCATCATTGTCAGTCTTAGTGGAGCAAAATCCTCCTTTGGTGCCTGGAATACAATGTGGAGCTAACCGCACACCACCTTCCAGGGGTGAGGAACAGTCTGGCGACGCCCTTTCAGGGTGGCTCCGTCTTCAGAACACGTATTGGCTTATACCCCAGTGGGTAGCCTCCAGGCTGTTTCGGCTGTGGACGGTCCAAGGTTAGACCGGTTTGCCTCACCCCAGAACACCAAGCTCCCAATGTATGTAACACTCCTGCTGACTCCAGCATACACTTGTTAGTGTAGCGGAAGGGAGATTGATCGATACCATCCCTCTATTGACTAGGTAGCAGGCTCCTTCGTCCACCTGTTTGACGAAGTGGGTTTGTCCTACGCAGCGATCGTTGGCTACAGGTCGGCCTTGTCCCCCACCATTCAAACATATGGGAACAAGACTAGCCGATTGTCCTATTATTAGGAGGCTATTTACTGCTTTCCAGACGCTGAGACCCCATACAAGGGAACCGCCCAACTGGGACTTGTCGGCTGTGTTGTCCGCTCTAAGCAGACCGCCCTTTGAGCCTCTCCGATCAGCACCACTCAAATTTTTGATGTGGAAAATAATCTTCCTACTGGCCCTCGCCAGAGCGTCGGCCAGAGCTGGAGGCATTGTCCTTCTCGAATGATGTACCGCCATTATGGACAATCAAGTTGTGCTAAAGACACAAATCGGGTTTCTCGCCTAGAACCAAATCCCAGGACACGATCCTCACCCGGTCGTCATCCCCGGCTGTCAAATTTTGTCTGCTTGGAGGGTCAGGACGAATTGCTTCTCTGCCCGGTCCGGGCACGGAGTCACCACCAAACTGTACCAAGGATTTGGGATGGGGTGCCAGGCACATATCTTTGTGTTATGGCCCATGCAGGCAGGATAGGCCGGCCTCCCCAACTTCCATAACCAGGTGGTCTACTGCGATTGTATTAGAGGTCTATAATACTTTGACTTCCTCGACACAGAGCTTGCAGAGACACCAAGTACGAGCGCATGAGGTATGTGCGATTGCTAACTCGGCAGTGCTAGCGTCAGCCCCCCCCCCCCCTCGAGCACACATGGAGGGCAGGCTTCTGGAGAACGCAGAACGTTTTTATCAACTACCACCTAAGAGACACCGAATCCATTGAAAAGGGTCTCTCTAGGTTGGGTCCCGTCCGAGCGGGTCAGTCTTGGTTTGCTGACCCAGCCCGAACGACCGCAAGAGTCCCTGCGCATAGGCAATAAGTTAGTCTTTGCATTTCATGCGGACAGATTTCTCTACCGTCAGCACTCCCCTGGAAGCTTCCAGGTCCTGCTTTACGGCCTATGCCCCCATGCAGAACTGTTTCGGTATTCGAAAGCTTACTACCCCCCAGAATTGGGTTGGGGTCTAGCTTTCTTGGGCACACCGAATCCTGTCACCGTAGCAGCATTTTGGCTTCTTGCTCCGGGACAGCACAGGCAAGGTAAGACACAACCCTTTTTGGGCCTTAACCAGGGTGTTGAGTGATTATTGTATTTCATCCCAGACTGGGAAGAGACTTTCATCTTTGCTCGGAAAACCCGCCACCTAACGGCGTCTGACTCTGCCTACAGTTCAAAATAGTCATTTTGACTGACCGGAGTCTATGGTGGGTAATTGAACGTAGTGAATTTAGGCGAGGGTTCTCCGAAACCACCTATTCCCATAGTTCATACCTCACCATAGACTCCGGGTCCCCACCAACCACCCCACTCTTTCCGTAGTGTTGGTCTAAATCCTCGATGC